CGGTGGATAGGAAGAAGGAACGGAAATGAGGGAGGAGAGGATTGGCCACCTCGGTCACCAGATCTAACTCCTCTTGATTATTATCTATGGGGATATCTGAAGAGTAAGGTTTACAGAACAAAACCTAAAACCATTCACGAATTGATACAGCGAATAAGGGATGAAATGGCTTTGATACCTTTTGAAACGAATCGTAAAGTCATTTCTACATTCTACCAAAGATTAGCATATTGTCAGGAAGTAAATGGCAGCCACTTTCAGCATTTACTTTAACACATTGAAACACATTTGCAATCGTTTGGTGCAACCTAACCTGATCTCTGTATACACGCACCGCACGCACGCACACGCACACATTTCGAACAATTATTATGATAAATGAGCATCCACAAATTTATTTACTGTTTACTATGTCGATTGCTTTCCAGGTCTTTAAATGCTCGATTGTAATTTGGTTGGGTCTTTGCTTTTGCTGACTGGATCCACGACCGATCTTGCCTTAGTTAGCTGGATCACACACACAACAGATGCAAATCCGAGCGAGTAACCTCCATGTAGTACACCTTGGATAATGTTAATACCGGCGCTACTCTATCATTCAACCCTCATAACTCGCAAAGTACTTAATAAAAATGAACATTATTATAGTGTTTTGGAAAGCTCTTGAATTAAGCTATAAGAATATGCAATCAAATGTAGGGGGTGTCATTTAAAAAAGTCAATGTGACCTTGACCTGACCTTGACGACGCCATCCAAGGTCAAACTGATAGAATCAGTATATAGATCTTCTTAAACCCTACAACTTTTGTTGGAAACACTTTTCTGTAAAACGTATATTTTCCGAGATATTTAGGGGTTTCCACACTTTTGGTAGACCCTGTATATATATATATATATTATATATATATATATATATATATACATATATAAAACAGTTTATTTAAAATAGATTTTATATATAAAATAGCTTTGGCATATAGCCAATGCGGCTAGAAGTGCGTGGCGGTGAAGATCTTTTTTAATTAATTTTTCGTTAATTATTGCAAATATCGCAAAATAGTATAGGATCTTCCTTCTAAATTTGAGCCAATCTACCTTCACATTTTGGGACTGCGAAAAATTGTCTGACACCCTGTATATCAAACTCTTAAAAAATACTCAATTTAGATAAGGAAAAATAGTAAATATTTACTTTTACACATCCAGCCTCAAATGACTTGACCTTGACATATATTGTCAAGATCATTGCTCTTAGTAACATTCGAAAAATTTTAAGCGTCACTCGTTGTTTATTAAAAAGTTATAAGCAAAAGAAGTCTTATAAAATTTACAGAAATTTTGGACATCATGTACAATAATAGATCTTTCGTATTGAAAGTTATAAAAGAATAAATGTATTGAAGAACATCTCAATTTTTTTTATCCTTACATACAGGGTGGGCCATTTTAAGTGATCCACCCCAATAACTTTTTCATATTTGAATGTACAACAAAATGTTTCAAATAAAAGTTGCTTGACTTCGAGGGAGACAGAAGATGGGTGGCAAAAATTTGACCTTGGATAGTCATTTGTCAAGTACCTTTTTATTAAGTACTTTTTGAGTTATAAGGCTTGAAATAATTTCTTAATTTTACATAAACCATAAAATATCTAGTAAACCATTCATTTTTCGATTATCTTACCTTGATACTTTTATATACAAAATAATGAGAGGAATCAATTGGTGTAAAGAAAACATATAGTTGTTTCTAAGAAAAAATATGTAATTTGCAATTAACAATTCCATATTTTTTCTTAAAAACAACTGTATGTTTTCTTTACACCAATTGATTCTTCTCATTATTTTTTACATAAAAGTATCAAGGTAAGATAATCGAAAAATGAATGGTTTACTAGATATTTTATGGTTTATGTAAAATTAAGAAATTATTTCAAGCCTTATAACTCAAAAAGTACTTAATAAAAAGGTACTTAATTATAATGTTTTGGAAAGCTCTCGAGATAAGCTACAAGAATATGCAATGAAAAATAGGGGTTCCATTTAAGAAATTGAAGGTAATCTTTATGTGACCTTCAAATGACTATCCAAAGTCAAATTTTTGCCACCCATCTTCTGTCCCCCTCGAAGTCAAGCAACTTTTATTTGAAACATTTTGTTGTACATTCAAATATAAAAAAGTTATTGGGGTGGATCACTTAAAATGGCCCACCCTGTATCGATTATAATGGAGAATCTTGTTTTGTGTAGAAAGTTGCAAACCTATATGGAAGTGTACAATAATAGACCTCGCTTATCACTGACTCAGGGGTGATGATATGGGGTGGACCTCGCTTCGCGTGGAAAGTTGCCATTCTATACCATCTCTAAATAATTTATTAAATATTTCTTATTAAAAGTGAAAATTAAATAATTAAATATATGTCAAAAAAATATTCCATTAAGTGCACAGGAGATTTAAAGATTACATAATTCGTGAAACTTTTTTATTTATAACTTTTTAATAAGCAACGAGCGACGCCTAAAACCTTTTGGATATTAGGACAGTAACAATATATGTTAAGGTCAAAATCATTTGGTTTTCTGAATGAAGTGATGCAAGAATGCTTACGCTGGCAACAGGCAATATAGTGGAGGAGATAACCACACAAGTGAAAATCGCGTGTACAGAAACACGATTTTTGCTTGTGCTTACCCCCTTTACTACGTTGCCGATTGCTAGCGTAAGCATTCTGGCATCACTGGCTGTATAAAGGTAAATTTTTAGCAAAAAAATTATGTTCGCAAAGATATCGGCCCAAGTATTTTAAGTAATGAGATGTCAATGCTAAAAAGATTGTCACTCAGATCTCCAGTAAACTTCTCAAAATCCAGATTTTATATTTACAGATTTTAGAAAGACAGAAATATCGTATAATAAACCAAAGAAGAACTAAAATCAAAGAAAAACTCAAGAAATAATCTATTTTAAAAATTGTATTATAAAATATTGTATTATAAAAAATTTTCCAAAGAAAATATAAGATGTCTTTCATTTGTGGGTATTAATCTCTTGCGTAAATTTGTAACTATGTTCTATCTTATTAGATTATTATAATTTTAATAGTTCATTGAGAGACTCATTGAAGGGGAGTGGCCCGTTGGCACACAGTACAATTGGACACGTTGCTTTTGGACACAAAACTAAATTTTCCATAATTTAAAACATAGACGCATGTATGTAGAAGACTTGAAATTTTTATCAATTTATTAACTTTTTATTTTATAAACGAATGACGAATACAGTAAATTTGCGCACAGTTCTTTTGCGCATAGTTCTTTTGCGCACAATTCTTTTGCGCACAGTTCTTTTGCCCACAGTTTTTTTGCCCACAGTTCTTTTGCACACAGTTCAATTGCGCACAACTACAATGGATATATGCTGTAAGTTGTAAAACGAGGTCTACCTTGCCTATCGGCGGAATGGTTGCGGGAGGGGGACTTGAATGTATGTGTACACACACACACACACACGCGCGCGCGGGAGGCCGAAGGCCCCCCTTGTGGCTCCCGCGTGTGTGTGTGTGTGTGTGTACACATACATTTGTGATTTTTTTTAATGTATTAAATTGTATTCAATTCTATATAAATTTAAATTGTATTAAATGTTAAACCCCTATTGAAATGAATGTGCAAATTTACTGTATTTGTCATTCGTTTATAAAATAAAAAGTTAATAAATTGAAAAATTTCAAGTCTTCTACCTAGATGCGTCTGTTTTAAATTATAAAAAATTGAGTTTTATGTCCAAAAGCAACGTGTTCAATTGAACAGTGCGCAAAAGATATGTGTCTAAATGAACGGTATGCAAATGTAACGTGTCCAATCGAACGGTGCGCAATTTTATGTGTCTAATAGCACGGTGTGCAATTGCAACGTGTCCAATTGTACTGTGCGCCAATAAAGGCTTCTCCATTGAAAGACCAGAAAGGAATACATCCTTTCAGTAAGATGTCAATAGAGCCGCCATTGGGAAGTTGAGGTGATGAGTTTTTGACGTAAGGAAGAAGAGTATAGAAATGTGGAAATATGGAAGAAGTATATGGAAATGTGAAAAGAAAGAATATGGATGTGGACTAGATAAAATGATTACGGACAAGAGAGAATGGAAACTGGAGAAGAGATAAAGCATGAAGAACTAAAGATATTTGGAGGAGATATTGTTAAAAATAATAGTTGTTGTTGTGCCGGGTGCGGCACGGGATGTAGAATAGTCGAGAGATTTCAACCAAGGCCTTTTAATTACAGACCGTTTTAATAACAATTTTTTATTATTATAATTATGATCCCTTTTTACAAATATATTCACTTATTCTATACTAATCGGTTTCTTTTAAGCCTTCTCTCCTTAATATTGTCTTTCTTTGAATCGCCTTGTTTTTAGATTTCGAATGTTAACAATTTCTTCAGCGTTTGATGCACAGAATAGCGGTTAGCCCCAGATTCACACTCCTTATTGATTAATTTTTAATTAACTACTGTCCGCCGCGGATTCTCGGTGGACGGTTTTTAACACCTCTTTTTTAGGGGTATTTTGAAGGGGATGGCCTAGCGACGTGGCCATATATGGTCATGAAGGATTTTCGTGGCGGTCAAGTCCAAGTGCAAGCAAAGGAGGTTCAAAGTTGAATCCCTTCGTTGGCATTGTTCGCGTTTCCGGCGAACTCGCGCGTGGTTGAAGTGGTAGTTTTACGCGGTTCGCGAATATTCTATCGCGGTTCGCGAATCTTATTCTAATAACAGTAAAATAAAATAAAATAAAGTTATAGTCTTTCGGACTATAACATTGTATTGAAGAAGGTTAGGGAGATTCAGAGCAGAGAGAACGAAGAAAGAGACGGTAATGCAGAAGAATGAGAAAAAGATAGTCGGTAAGGAAGAGAATATAAAATGAACGTAAATTTGATCCCTTTTTTACAGGTATTTTTGAAAGGATATTTTGAAAAGAATTGTAAACTTACATGTATATGTGACTGGCAGATCATTTGAGGCTCCATTTAAATGAGGTACGACACTATTCTTCTGTTTGCTAGCATCTGCCTCCACAGCATAATCATACATAACCCAAAAAGCACATAGTAGTATGCCCTCAATCCATAGCATGATAATCGCGTGCGTTACGTTATCGCATATTCTCATCCTTGTACCAACCTTGTACCAACCTTGTAGTTTTATGAAAGATTTAATTATATAACAACTCACTAGTTTTATGAAAGATTTAATTATATAACAAATATTATAGTATAACAAATCTCCATTATGCGTCGTACCATATTGAAATGTGTTCGATCAATGTGATTTTTTCAAAATTGTTATTGTTTCCAAACTTGATAACGATTTTCTTTATGTATCCACAGCGCAGAAGCTTGCATCAACATTGCTGCAATGTTATAACATTGCTCACTACAGTATAATATTGCAGAAATAATGCAGAGACATTATTTTGTAATATTACTTTGGCAATATTGCAGCAACGTTTCAACATAGCGAAAATGTATAACATGTATTTCTTTACTTGCCGCTACGCGGCGACACCAAATTTAACTAACTCATATTCGAATTCATCTAAAGTAGATATAAGATCTACAAAAGACTAATGTAGTAATTATATTTCTTGTTTTGTATCAGTTTAATTTCTCATAAACTGACTTGGTTTATTTAATATTCTAAATCCTAAGAGGGATCTAAATTATTAAACAAATAATTTGTTTAATAATCTGGATTCCTCATTGGGTTTCAGAATATTAAACAGATTTTTCTCAATTAAATGGGTAAATAGGAAATAGTTTATTGCACGTATTAAAATATTCTGGTGTCGAATGTATGTAAAATAATTGTATGTACATTATTGAGATAAATATTTAAGAATATTTAAGAAACATTTAATAAAAAAACACTAATAGATGTATTTTAAGGGCATTTTTCCTACCTTTCTTAAACATTTTTTTATATTTTTAAAGTTTATTTATTAAATTTAAAATGATGTTTGCATTTGTAGCAAAATGCATTTTAATATTACATATACGTTGCAGCGTAACATTGCTACAATCTTACATTGCAATATTCCTAAAAGCGGACATTGTAACGTTGCTGCAATCTCACAACAATGGTGCAGCAACATTTTGCAGTGAATTTGCAACGCTACAACATTGCGGTGAAAGATTGCTGCAATGTGTATGCAATCTTTGTGTGCTATATTGGAAACATTATCTTTCCGAAACACTATCCAATGGTAACTGTCTAACGGAATATTCGTAAAGAAAGAAACCAACATCCAACGATAGTAATTTAAAATGATCATCCAAATGTATATCTGATAACTTTTTAACTAATTCAAATTAATAATATGGCCTTGGAATCAACGTCGTGGAATAAATGATATAAGAATGTATCTAATTATGTAAAAATGCAATTAACGAATGTAAAAGGATATTGATTGAGGAAACGATAACTCTGAATGGGAAAATTGGCTTATGAATTTTTGATAATTCATAAACCTTTAATAAAACATTATGTATGGAGTTCAAGTGCTTGTAAATCGTGTCAGAAATATAATGGTGACATTTTTACCAACATAATTCATGAATACCATTAATCAATTTTCAATCGGATTTTGAAAACCGAATAGATGTTTTCATTACTAAGTGTATTTATTATCTTGTGTAAATAAAATTCTTTGTCAAGAGCAACTTTGATGTTGCCTTTATCTGCTCTTATGAAAATAATATTGGAATTCTCTCGTAAGAATCTCTTAGTAGAATTTACCGTGTGAATAAGTTTTTTACCCATTGCTGATAAAAAATTTGTTTTTACCCAAATTTTGATTCGTGATAAGATAGAATGGTGACACGGTTGAATTGGAATGATTTATTGAATCACTATGCATGATTAATCTTATAACTTGTACATCTCAATAAAAAAAAAATGTGCGGCAGCAATCGAAAATGGATTTAAAAGGTGAAGACTAATACTATACGATGCCATTGGCAGAAATATTTCAAAAATTTTAAAAGAATGATTATTTTATTAATTACACAGGCGAGGATCAGTTACAAAAAGCAGAGTAGGTGAATCTGATAAATTTTTTGACACTGAAAACGAATCTGGCCACGGAATTTCCCCAGCATATCAGGTTTTTGAGTAACTTATAGTTAAATAATTCAAAAATGCAATTTCGGCAAATTTAATAAATTTATTATGGAAGAACCTAATTTTTTGAAATATTTCTGTCAATGGCATCATATAGTACTAGTCATTACCTTTCAAATCCATTTTCAATTGTAGCTGCACGATTTTTTTTCGTTGATATACAAATATGAAGATATAAGAAAATTTACGTTAAAGAAAATTTATACATCAATATGGCAGATCCATCATCCTGAAATTTGAAAAGGCTTGTATATCTGCTTGCATGTCATCTTCGATTGCCCAAAATAGTCTTATAAAGATATATCTAATACAGTTGTTACACATTTTGATAAATTTTTCTAAATTTTATGCCTTTTTATTGTGATTTTGTCCAAATATTGGATGCGCCATTTTTAATTTCAAAAAATGAGGGTAGCGTTCAAAAATTTGTGTTTTTACCCAAATTTTGATTTGTAATAAGATAAAATGATAACACGGTTGAATTGGAATTTATTGAATCACTATGCATGACCAGTCTTATAACTTGTATAGCTCAATGAAAAAAAATTGTGCGGCAGCAATCGAAAATGGATTTAAAAGGTGAAGAGTAATACTATACGGTGCAATTGAAAAAAATATTATATTATATTCAAAAAATTAGGTTCCCTCGTAATAAATTCATACACTGTAAAAACACATTTTGTATAATATTTCTGTTGAAATTTTCTCGTATAGAAATTTTTGTGTTAAATTTTTAACATAATGTTATGTTAATGTAACATATTGTCGTTATTGTTGCATTATTTTGACTTTTCTACGTTAAGTTAATATTCACCGTTTTTGAGAATTAAAACAACACAATTAATATGTAAGTGCACAAATTTTTGATCAAATATGTTATATGTTAAAATGAACAGATAAGTTATGTTACTTTTCTCTTTATAACAGTTTCCATCTATTAAGGGGATCCCTCAAGCGTACTTTTTTACCGACAAAAACACGAAATTTTTGGGCAGGTGCCATTTTTTATTGCCTGTATAGAATTAAAAATCCTTTTCTACGGTTGAAGTATAGATGCGAACGGATAGCGCAAAACTGATTATATACTGAGAAAGAAAAAAAAGTATAAAATTATATATTTATTTATCGACTTCTTAGATCAACATGGTGTCTAAAGCTATCACCTCATAAAAACATTAACCTTGTATAAATGTTTTGTAGCATTTATGCATAAAACAATAGCATACCCCATAATGAACTACACAATAAAAACTTATGGAATTGTGAAAATTGAGTTTAGTAGTCTAATTAATAAATGGCATGTGCCCAAAAATTTCGGTCCGTATGTACCTGAAATATCAGTACAGTAGAGTGGAAAAAGCAGTGCATCTTCTTTATAAATAACGTGATAGAGAGAGATACGAGATGAGGGCGCTGTAATCGTGTAAGAGTTCACCATTCAATGAGGGATCTCCTTAAATAGCCATATTTCTTATGTTATTTATCATAAAAAAATGTCACTGTCTTTTGTCTTTCTGGTGGCCACGCGCAAGTGCGGACACGATTACTGTGAGGCAAGAAGTGATACGACAAGAAGCATTTATGCATCTATCCTTTTTGTATGTGCTGAAGCTACCTCTTATTATGTGTTTATAAGCGTAAGAGCTGAAGTGAGTAATATTCTTTCAGTAAAGTTATATAATGAAGGTAAAAAATATGGTGGTTAATATTATTTTATTAAATAATAAGAATTATGTCTTACAGATTGTAAATTAATGAATATACGAGTTAATGAATTTAATATCTTTTCTCCGTAATGTAATGTACCTTTGTAACATTGAATAAAATAATTTGTGCAGAAAAATGTCTTATTTCTTAACAATAAAAAATATTAGTATTATTTTTTAACAATAAATAATATATAGTATTACTGCAACGATAATACTAATAATATATCAATTAACATTTTAAAAATGTAACGTTAACATTTTTTTGCATTAAAATATAGAATTTTTAACACACGGATTATGTAAATATAACATTTTAATTTTATCAAAATCTTTAAATAACTACTTAAATATATTTTAAATAACTACTAAAAATATATTTATATGTAATGTGTGTCTTCTCTATAATATTTAATGATTCCAAATCCTTTCTGTTATATATGCATGTATGCTTACGTGCTCGCGTACGTATGTGTACGCGCGCGCTATCTCTGCATAACAGACACGCATAACAAAAAGAATTTAGAATCATTAAATATTATAGTGACACACATTATATATAATTTTTTTTAAACATTTATATATTAATTTAATCTATGTATTCAAAAACAGACGTTTTTTAAACTTCAATACCACCCACTTCAAATCATTGTATCTTTTATACTTTTGATTTTTAGACTTTTTGCCTTAGAAAATTTTTGATCGGCATCAAAACTACAACATATTTCAATTTCAGCTAATTTGACCGAAGCTACTTTTTTCATATAAAATGTGCGGGGTCCTTTAACATAAAAATTTTTTACTGTGTGAAATTGGTCGGAATAGGCATTTTTAGACTATTAAATCACAAATTATTAAACAACCTGACATGCTAGAAAAATTTTACGGCTAGATTCGTTTTCAGCATCCAAAAAAACTATCAGATTCACCTACCCTGCTTTTTGTAAGTAAACCTAAAATTTCACAAGCTTATTGGAGTAGAGCGATTTCTGATAGCAATTTGTTACTATTGCTTAGAAGTCTTCTAATATACATATGATATTCTTAATAATTGCAATGTCTCAAGTTGTCATGAGATGCACATGTATAACAACATATTGTCACCAATAAATGCAGAAAAAAGAACAGAATGAATACTGTAATAATGGCATTAATGTAATGATTGGGATTGTCCGAAGAATGCACTCCACAAATTATGAAATATGTTGTAAACTATCCGCATGTCGATTGCGAAATGATTAATGTAATTTCAAATTCAATTTTCTGTCCATATATTAGTGTTTAATATTTGTTTAACACTTCATATA